TTCTCCAGGGGCAGGAGGCGGCGGTGCAGGACCTGCACACCCTAGTCCAGGTCATTGGCCACGTCTTCATCTGTGAGACTCTGTCCGTTCACAGCCGGTAAATCGTACTGGCCTTGGGATAGATCTTCAAAATCCTGACTCATGGTGGGAGAGATGATGTCAGGGCTGGTGTCGCAGGACTCCGTGGTCTGTTCAGAGGTAGCGATGGTGGTCGTCGTGCTTTTTGGGACAGGGTCGAAGTCATCATCGTCTTCTAGGATGGGAGATTCGTGGATGTCTGGAAGGGAAGCCACAAACGTTAGTTTTGCTGCTGCGGCCACGCAAGGCAAGGCACTGACGGTGCGACACCAGGTACGAGAGACGCCCCAGCAGAACAGTTTGGTAATTTCTAATTCTAAGTTTTGACTGCTTGTAGCAGCAGTCAATTAAAAAAAGAAAAAGAAAAAACAATGCCACATAACTAGCAGCCGCTCATTAACTTCTTGCATCTGCATTTAATATAATCAAGACGCTTTCCAGGCTTTCAGCACAGTGGCCATGTGCTGGTGCGTGCGCCTGCATGTCTCTTCGACTTCTCCCAACTCCCGAGAGCCACCTCACGTGTTCTGAGGGAAAGGGACGCCGTGCACAGGAAGAAACCCCAGGGAAAATCCACGCATCGGAGGGAATCACTCACTGCTGAAGGCCTCCGGGTACTGCTTCGCCAGCTTCCCTTTCAGCGTCCTGGGGGAGGAGAGGGCGAGCTGAAGCTCACGGGAAAGCAGAGATCCGGAGCCGAGCTGCCCGGCTGCCGCTCTCCGATATTTATGGACAATGTAAATGAATTCCCGGGGGTTCCTCAGGCTGAGGGGCTCCCTCCCAGCCCCCCGAGTGCTCCCATCGCCCCTCAGCACACTGGGCGTTTCTCAGAGTCCCACGTTTCGTGACTGTCCCGGTTGGAGCAGAAGTGCCGGAACCCCAAAGCTCCGGCCTCCGCGGCTCCTCTCCCGCTGCCTCCCCACGTCACTTGGCTGCTCATTTTCCCCTCTCCAAGCATTTTTACTTCTAAAATGTTTACCTCCACACCAAACTCCTCACTCGCCTCCCGCTCTACCACACCCTGCGGCCCACCTAGCCCCCCCCCTGCCCTCTCCGCCCTGCCTCCCTCCCCGTCAGCAGCGCCGTTCCCGTCCCCGCTGCCCACCGGATCCGGCGGAAGATGCTGTCCAGGTCCTTCTTCATTTCCACCAGCGTCTTGGTGTGGTGGAGGAAACGCTCGTTCATCTGCTGCATGCGGATGCTGGAGAGGTTGTTGAAGTTGAGCAGCATCTCGTTGGTTTTCTCAAATCGATCCAACCTGCCCGGGGCGGGAGGAAGCAGAGCGAGCTCGACAAGGCTCCCGGGAGGCTCCCCGGTGCTGGGACGGGGTCCCCACGGGCCGGTTCCCCCAGGACTCACATGTTTTTTTGGGCCAGGATGATGGCGTTGACATCCTCGGCGTTGACCATGCCCAGCACCCGCCCGCAGAACACCTGCGAGGCC